TTTTTTTGTGACAGAGTTTCGCTCTTGCTGCCCAGGCTGGAGTGCAATGGTGCTATCTTGGCTTACCACAACCTCCACCTCCCGAGCTCAAGTGATTCTCCTGCCTCAGCCTCCTGAGTAGCTGGGATTACAGGCATGTACCACCATGCCCAGCTAATTTTGTACTTTTACTAGAGACAGGGTTTCTCCCATGTTGATCAGGCTGGTCTGGAACTCCTGACCTCAGGTGATCCACCCGCCTCAGCCTCCCAAATTGCTGGGATTACAGGTGTGAGCCACCATGCCCAGCCAAGGTGACCTACAATTTAAAGAGAAATTTGGGTGATGGCTTAAGAAGATAAATCAGAAAGGGAGATTTAGTATATTCAAGAAAATGATGCTTCTTGTCCATGAAGATGATCAAACACTGGTACAGAAATACTGTAGAACCTTCTCTGAGGTTTTTTTTTTTTTTTTTTTTTGAGACAGAGTCTCGCTCTGTCACCCAGGCTGGAGTGCAATGGTGCGCTCTCAGCTCACCCCAACCTTCGCCTCCTGGGTTCAAATGAATCTCCTGCCTTAGCCTCCTGAGTAGTTGGGATACAGACATATGCCACCATGCCCAGCTAATTTTTGTATTTTTAGTAGAGTCTGGATTTTGCCATGTTGGCCAGGCTGGTCTTGAGCTCCTGACCTCAGATGATCTGCCCGCCTCGGCCTCCCAAAATGCTGGAATTACAGGCGCGAGTCACCATGCCTGGCCTGGTACATTTTTTTTAATTAGAAAATTTCCTTCAATAATATTTTTGAAATTTAATTTTCTGAATAAGGAATACACTTTCATGATTAAAATTTTTAAAACTATGAAGGAACAGTTAGGAAAATGGCTGCCTCTTCCCCAGTCTCCTAGAAAATCACTTGCCACCACATCACATAGTTTCTTACTTTCTTTTCTTCTTCTGCCACAGGTAAGTAAGGTTATTAGTTTTATGTGGCGTTTTTTTGTTTTTGTTTTTGTTTCTTATTGAGAAAGAGTCTCGCTCTGTCACCAGGCTGGAGTGCAGTGGCACAATCTCTGCACACTGTAACCTCCACCTTCCAGGTTGAAGCAGTTCTCCTGCCTCAGCCTCCAGAGTAGCTGGGATTACAGGTGTGCGCCACTATGCCCAGCTAATTTTTTTTTTTTCTATTTTTAGTAGAGACAGGGTTTCAACATGTTGGCCAGCATGGTCTCGATCTCTTGACCTTGTGATCCACCTTCCTCGGCCTCCCAAAGTGCTGGGATTACAGGCGTAAGCCACTTGCGCCGGTCCAGGTTGTTTTCTGTATATCAGTGTGTGTGTGTATACGTGCTACATATATACACTCTATATGTGTATGTATATGTAATATATGCACTGTATATGTATAACACACTATATATGTATATGCTATATATACTGAGTATGTATATATAATATATACATTGTGTATATAATTTATACTTTTATTATGTATATGCTATTTTGGTCCTTTTTTACATAATTGGTAAAAAATATATGTCTACTATATACATATACATTTCACACCATACCCAATTGGTATGAAAATATATGTATACTATATGCATATGAATACTTAACAATATATCTTAGACATCTTCCCACATAGCACTTTCTCATTTCTTTTTACAACTCCCCGGTATTCCATTGCATGGATGTATCATCAAGTAAACAGCCTCCTTTTTGTATTGTGTCTAATCTTTGGATATTGCAAACCCTCTAGCAGTAAACATTGTACATACATCATTTCTCTCCTGTATAAGTAAATCTATAAATTTCTAGGAATAATTTTGCTGGATCAAATGGCTTATGTATTTGTAACTTTGATAGTTACTACCAAATTATCTATCCAAGAAGTTGTACCAATTTACCCTCTGATACATAAGGTATGAGAGTTCCTATTGTGCTTTGTATTAAGTGTGGTGTCAAACTTCTGATTTTTGCCAATCTGATAGATTAAAAATAGCATTTCAGTGTAGCTTTAATTTGCATTTCCACTAGAATGTAAGCTCCATGAAGCAAAAATCTTTTTGTTTTGTTTTGTTTGTTGGTTTGCTTTTGAGACGGAGTGTCGCTCTGTCACTGGAGTGCAGTGCACTCTAGCCTCACTGCAGTCTCAGCTCACTGCAACCTCTGCCTCCTGGGTTCAAACAATTCTGCCTCAGCCTCCTGAGTAGCTTGGATCACAGGTGTGTGCCACCACACCTGGCTAATTTTTGTATTTTCAGTAGAGACGGAGTTTCACCATGTTGGCTAGGCTGGTCTCAAACTCCCGACCTCAAGTGATCCACCCGCCTCAGCCTCCCAAAGTGCTGGGATTACAGGCATAAGCCACCATGCCCTGCCTCTTTTTTTTTTTTTTCTGGGGAGTAGCGGGTAGGGATTCACTGCCTTCTATATCCAGAAGGTCAATATTATTAATATTATTGGCACATAGTAGGCTCACACACACAAAAAAAACTGTTTCTGGAAGAATTTATTCTGAGTGACCCTGAGCAGCCTTTCATGTGTGTAAGTGCCAGCCATTTGTATTTCCTTTTCTGTAGGCAGTCCAGTCTTATCCTTCACCATTTGCCTACTGGACTGTGGTCTTTTCTTCAATTATTAGAAGCTCCTTATTTACTAGAGATCTAGTTGCTTACTCAATAAACTGAAAATAATTTTGCCTATTACTTGTTGGTCTTTTATCTTAGCTTGTGATAGTTTTTTTGCTGTGCACATTTTTTTCCACATAGTCAATTTAATGAGTCTCTTCTCTGAGTTACCGTCATGATTAGAAAGACCAATTTTGCAGTTATAAATGAGTCATAGCATTGATTCTTCTATTACTTTTATAATGTTTAAGATCATTGATCCATTTAAAAGTCACCCTAATGTGAGTGTGAGATCTTGATTGAGTTAACTTGTTGTCCTAAATGATTACTCAGTCGTCCCAATACCAGTCAGTTGGTAATCCAGTACCTTGATGGACTGAATACCTCTCCTGTATTCTTCCATTTCAATTTTTTCCTGGCTACTACTCACAGTTTACTTTTCATAGGGATATTGAAATGAACCTGTTTGTTTCAAAAGATATTATTTTTATTTATTTAGGAAGAATTAGCATCTTTATATATTCGTCTTCCTCTTCAAGAACATGATACACTTTTCCTTTATTCAAGTCATTTTTATGTCACTCAGCAGCATTTTACTGAAGTTTTCCTCAGAAAGATCCTGCAAATTTCTCATTAAGTTTATTCCTAGTTACTTTATCTATTTATAATTGTTTTATATGCAGTGTATCCTCTAACTGGTTATTGTTTAAATAGGTGGATCCTATTGATTTTTAAAATATTTTTATACCCTGTCCCTTACTGAATTTTTCTTTTTTATGATTTTTTTAGGGAATTATCTTAGATTTTCCAGGTACACAATGGTATCATCTGCAAAATAAGTGATCATTTTACCTATTCTTTCCAATTTTGAAGCTTGGTATTTCTGATCGCTTAACTAACTGCATTGACTAGTACTTCCAATACAATGGTAGATAAAATGGCAGTAGTAGACATCCTAGAAGATTTCTGGCTTGGCAGGGCACGCTTTTAGTGTTTCCCTATTAAACATATTTCTGGGGTTTTTTGTTTGTTTGAGCCAAATATATTTTATCATTTTATCACATTAAGGAAGTATATATTTATTTCATTTTTATTAGAAGTTACGATGAAAAATGCATTGTATTTTGTCAAACGTGTTTTTAGTATAACCAACCATTTATCTCTATAAATATGATGATGAGTAACAGGTTTTCTAATGCTAAACTGTCCTGTAATTCCTGGAATAAGCTCCCTTGATCAGGCAGGATTGCGTGTGTGTGTGTGTGTGTGTGTGTGTGTGTGTGTGTGTGTATGTGTTATTTTTAAACTGTGCTATTGGATTGCTAATGTTTTATTTAGGATTTTTGCATGGATATACACAAGTAAGATTTCTCAATGATTTATTTATTTTTTCTTTCTTTCTGTTTGTGTGTGTGCGTGTGTGTGTGTGTGTGCGTGTGTGTGTGCGTGTGTGTGTGTGTGTGTGTGTATGTGTTATTTTTAAACTGTGCTACTGGATTGCTAATGTTTTATTTAGGATTTTTGCATGGATATACACAAGTAAGATTTCTCAATGATTTATTTATTTTTTCTTTCTTTTTTTTTTTGAGACAAGCTCTTGCACTGTCACCCAGGCTGAAGTATAGTGGTGCTATCATAGCTCACTGCAGTCTCAAA